TTACAACACACAGCACACACCACACACATACCCCTCCACATCACACACATACAGACAACACACACACACCACGCACACACACACATATACAACATGCATACATATACATATACACATACACACACCACACACAATACATACCACACACATCACCTACATATACCACACACATCACACATGTACACCACACTCATTGCTTAGGAACTGCCTCTGATTCATGGTGGCCCTGTGTATGTCAAAGTACAACTCTCTCCAGAGGGTTTTCAATGGCTGATTTGGGGAGATCACCAGGCCTTTCTTCGGAGGCACCTCTGGGTAGATTTGAACTTTCTGTTTGTAGTCAAGGGTGTTAACCGTTTACTCCACCCAGGGACTCTGACCACTCTCAAGTCCTTTGCATAAGGGATTTAGAACTATCATTCATGAGTTTTATTTTATTACAGGTGGTGTAGTAGTTACGTGCTGAGCTGCAAACCGCAAGGTCAGCAGTTCAAAATCACCAGCCACTGCATGGGAGAAAGCTGAGGTTTTTCTACTCCCATAAGGAGTTGCAGTCTCGAAAACTGAGGGGGCAGTTCTGCTCTGTCCTGTAGGGTCTCCATGAGTTGTATTCGTCTCCATGGCAGTGAGTTGGTTTTTTGGTTCAATGTGTGGGGAAGGGCAGGGAGAGAGAAAGGAATGCGGTGGCCTTGGTTGCTGGTTGGTGGGTGTTTGGTTGCTCCTGAGCTGAGCCTTGGATGCAAGTAGTTTGCATGGGAGGCACCCCAGGAAGCACAGTGAGGCGGCGGGGAAGACAAGACAGGGTGGGTGGGAAGCCATTGTCGTTGGGGGCCAAAGAGCAGGTCGACGCTGTGGGATGTTCTAGGAACCACGTGGAACAAGCACAGAATCATCACACTGTGGATGTGTGCTCCACCCTCTACAGCTAAAGGCAGCCCCCTCCCCGGCCCCCCCTCCCTCAGAGCATCTCCGTCCTTGGGCTGGTGGCAGCTTGCTGAGAAGAGGCCCCGTGTCCTGCTGAGAAGCTGGGAGGTACAGGCTCTTGGAGAGGGAAGCTGCCCTGGACTGGAGATTGGCTGCCCCACCTGGGAATACCGCAGGCCAGCTGGGCAGCCAGGGCAAGGGCTCCCATCCTCTTCTGTAAAGAAGCAAGGGTGGGTAGCTTCTAGGAGTGTAGAGAGGCCCATGAGGAAGATGATGGCTCCCAGGGCACTACATCATCTACCCTGTTTCCCCCAAAATAAGACGGTGTCTTATATTAATTTTTGCTCCCAAAGATGCGCTAGGTCTTATTTTCAGGGGATGTCTTATTTCTCCATGAAGAAGAATACGGTACACATTTATTGTTTTATTAAAGAGACCTCGCACTTCCTGTCTGCTCCGGCTGCACTGCGGCCAACAGTGAGCTGCGCAGCGGCACCCACCGCTACGGTCCAGAGTCCAGAGTTATGGTAGCTTTGGGGGGGTGTCTTATTTTCAGGGGGATGCCTTATATTTCAGTGAGAGGCAAAACTGTAAGTAGGTCTTATTTTCGGGGGATGTCTTACTTTCGGGGAAACAGGGTAGGAGGGTGGCTAGAACCACAGGGTTTTGTTTTTGTAACAGGCAAAGCAAGGACCATTAAAGTCAGGAGTCTTCCACGACTGCTTTGAACAAGTAACACTTGTAAGGACAGTTTCATAATAACAACCGAGTTTGCGTGGCAACCTGTCCTCACACACGTTTTTGTCCTAGGCAGGAGAAGCCGCTTCCTACTCCTGAGAGTGCTCGGCTGTCAGCACTTAGCGAATCTCCTACTTTGAGCAGATTTTATTTTTTAAATCATTGTATTGGGGGCTCACACAACTCATCACAATCCATACATACATTAGTTGTGTAAAGCACATTTGTACATTCGTTACCCTCATCATTCTCAAAACATTTGCTCTCCACGGAAGCCCCTGGCATCAGCTCCTCATTTCCTCCCTCCCTCTCTGCTCCCCCATCCCTCATCAACCCTTGATAATTTATAAATTATTATTTTGAGATTTTTCTATTTCCTACACAGCCTGCTGTCTCACCCTCTGTGGCTGCACAGGGACATGGGCCCTCTCCTTGCTTTTCTAAGCCCCAGAGTCCATCTCCCTAGGTACATTCCCCAGGGATCCCATCACTGGGACGCCACCCATTAGCACTGAGAGAGAAGGGCTGGCTGGAAACGCTGCAGGTTTACATTGTAAGAAGGAGAGAATTGCTAACACCTGGAAGGTGAGCTACTTCTTGCTGCAAAGGAGCCCTGATGGTGTCTGTAGTGGTGACCAATTGGTCCCAACCCTAAGGTCAGTAGTGTGAAACATCAGCTGCTCTGTGGGAGAAAGACTTCTTCTTCCAGTGTGTCAGAAACCCACAGGGGCAGTTCTACCTTGTCCTATCGGGTCGCTATGAGTCGGCATCTACTCGATGGCCTGGAGTTTGAGGTTTTCAGGGTGTGGGCCTCAGACCAACAGTACCTGGACGCTTGCTATTTTGGGGTGTCACTGAGCCATTTTGGCCCAAAGCGACCCCGCAGCAGGGTAGAGCTGCGCCCCAGGGGTTCCCTGGCAGCTGGGTGAGTGAGCACACCGGGCTAGCTCCAAGGCCAGCCAAGTGCTCCACTGTCTGTGCTCCCAGGGCTCTGTGGGAGCTTGATGGAGATGCAGAGCCTGAATCTGCATGGGGAGAGTCGTGGGCACAGTCCAGTGTGAGAAGCATCCCCAAATCTTCAAATTCACTGCCACCGAATTTGGCAGCGACCTTGTAGGACAGGGTAGAACTGCCCGTGTGGGCTTCTGAGACTGTGACTTTTTTTTTCTTTTAAGCAAAAGGGAAGAAATTTATTGGGGCCCATACGGGAAACCCTAGAGGGGCCCAGCATCACCTACTGTGTTGGCATGCCCAGCAAAGGGTCACCCCATTCACTGTACCCCCATGTCCCAGAGGGACTCCCCTAGAGCCGAGCCCCAAAGCCCCAGGACTGGCTGGGGGGGGGGGGGGGGGAAACGAGAGACTGTGACTCTTTACAGAAGTAGAAATCCCCATCTTTCTCCCGAGGAGCGGCTGGTGATTTCGAACTGCTGGCCTTGCTGTTAGCAGCTCAGAAGAAAGGCCCGGTGAAACATGCCACTGACACCCCACGGAACGCAGTTCTAGACTGATTGACAACCCCACAAAGCACAGTTCTAGGCTGATTGACATCCCCAGAGAATGCAGCGCTGGTGTGGCACATGACGTCACCATGAGTTGGAATTGGTATCATGGTCACTGGCGGCTCCAGTGGGCCGAACACAATAAACGTGAGAGTGCTGGTCGCCCGCAGCCTGGCTGAGCTGGCATGCCTCTGGGCTTGCTCTCCTAAAGGCCTCCTCACCCCCTTGGCATGTGTGAGCCTCCTGCTGTTTCGCACAGGAAGGACCCAAGCAAGACCTAGTATCCACTGGGCCCTGACCACACAGCAAGTGCTATGTCCAGACCTGACCTCTTCAGCAGCTAACACTCCCAGGAATCCTGCTGTCTTAGTTACCTGTGGACATTGTAAGGGGAAGGCCATCATGCGGGCCTTTTAAATTTACCATCTCAGGGTTCTGGAGGCTTGGAGTCAGAAATCAGGCCAGGCTAGTCTGACTGGTTCTCTCTCTTTTTCCCTCTCTCCCTCTCTCTCCTTCCCTCCCTCTCGATATATCTCCTGATCACTCTTGACCACTGTGTGTGCATGTTTTCCCTTCTTACAAGACATTACCCAGAATGGATTAGGTTTAGGACCCACCTCTCTCTGGTCTGACTTCATTAACATAACAAACATCCTATTTTCAATCTGGGTCATTTTCTCAGATACAGAGGTTAGGATCTTAATGTATTTGGCGGGGGTTGGGGTGGGGCACAATTCAATCTAAAACACCCGTACCATGGCTTTTCCTTAAATCCCCATTTTACTGAGGGCTTGGCCACACAGGGCAGTGCCACACTCCATACCCAGATCTTTCTGACCTTCCCCTCCCAGCCCCTTACCCTGTGCTGGGCATACAGCGGACATATTGGGTGGTTGACATTCCTATCTAGTTGTAGAAACAGAGACTTTCTCTGCTTTCAGAGTGGGCCAAGCTTCTCATCATCAGTACGCTCACCCTCCCTGCTGATCAACGGGTCACTGTAAACAGCACAGAACTATCAAAGGGGATGGGGAGAGGCAACAAAAGAAAAAGGCTCTTTGAAGTTAGGCTGTCAGAAAGAACTCCAGGAGGCTGCGGGGAGAGTCCCATGTGCGAGAGCCTGCTGCGGCTTAAGGATGGGAATCAGGTGCTGGTTCTCCTGGGGGACAGACACACCCCCTCCCCAGGCCCTGATGAATTGGGTGGCTGAAGCTACCATATGCCCAACTCCAGAGCCTCTGCTGAATCCTGACCCACAAGCTCAACAGGCACGTGTGGGGTGAGGTCTAGATGGGGAAGGGCCGAAGGTGGACACAGGGCTCTGGACATTTCCCCCTGCCCAGAGGGCCGGTGGGGGGTGGGGGTGGGGTGATGCGGCGGGGAGGGACGTCTGCGATAGCCCTTTCTGAAGGCCAGCCAGGTTTCTGTCAACCTCATGCCCGAAAACGAGGCCTGAGAAGACCCAGAAGTGAGAGCAAATTGGTATGAAGGCAACTGGTTCCTGTTAATGAAGAGCTAATTAGCCTGATTTCCAGGTGCCCTGCAGGACCTCACTGCCGCACCCACTGAGCTGGGTGGGCCCCTCACTGTCCTTTGGGCAGGGCCAGCTTGGGCAGTGTGGGATTTGGGGGGTGGGGGAGGGGTGAGAGGGGTTTTCAAATCAGCTCACTAAACAGGGGGTTTCAAATAGGATGTCCTATTAATATTGCTAATGTTTCTGAACAGCTGGGTCTCTTAGGGGCTCTGCACTGTCATGGGGGCAGGCAGGGGACAATGAGACGTTCCCAGGTAAGGAGCCAGCCTCGAACTTAGGCTCACCGCTCCAGCCTGTGGCCTGTGGGGTGGGTAACTGCACCGGGAGTGGCTGACTTGGGGAGGGGAGGAGGGAAGACCCCATGTTGGGCACCTGTAACCGGCCCCTCTGTCTGCCTACAGGTGATCGAGGACTGGAAGTACGTGGCCATGGTGGTCGACCGGCTGTTTCTATGGGTGTTTGTGTTCATGTGCGTGCTGGGCACCTTGGGGCTCTTCCTGCCCCCCCTCTTCCAGACCCACATGCCCATCGGAGGGCCCTAGGCTGCCAGTGTGTCCACAGGCCCCCTGGGGTGCAGTGAGAGGGTGTCGACGGCCAGCCAGGCAGTGGCTCTTTCCTTCTGGATCATCGCTGATGAGATCCTAAATGAATCCACGGCCATTGGCTACTGGCCCCATCAAACTGACCGTGACTGTGGGAGGGGTCAGGACTGTCCTCTCAGAAGGCCTTGGAGGGCCCCCAGGAAGTTCTGGCCGAGGAAGGGGGCTTCAGACTATTTCATCAAGCCTGCCTTCTCTGCTCTAGGCTCTGGGGAAAAAAATGAACTTAAGGGCCACAACTACTAAATGCTGGACTTCTTGTCCACACCCCAGTTGACCTCTCCATCCGCCCCTCCCTCCACCTGACTTCAGCCAGGCTGGCCTTCCACTCAAAATACTCCAGAACCCACCCCCCAAACCCCCAAACTCAGAGCATCTGCTGTATCTTCTACCCTGCAGCTCTTCCCACAGCTTTGTTACCCTGGGCTCTGCTCTAAAGCGCCTTCTCCCAGAGAACTTTCCTGAGTCAGGCAGCCACCCCTCGACTCCCTCCCTCACTCCCCAGAAGCTCTGGCTCCATGGCATGTGGGTGGTGTCTCACTCTCTAGACCTCTGAGTCAGTGAGAGCAGGGGCCTGGGCCCTCTTGTTCACAGTGGGACCCCCAGACCCCAGGATGGAGTAGCGGCTCTGATGAATGGATGCTGATGAAGGATGGCTCCTGTTCATCCTTGCCGCTCAGATATCTTCTCTGAGCAGCTGTCCCTGGGTTGAATTGTGTCCCCCCAAAAGATAGATTTAAGTCCTCATCCCTAGAACCTCTGATGCAAAAAGTCAAACTCACTGTCACCGAGTCAATTCTAACCCACAGAGATCCTGTAGGGCAGGGTAGAACTGCCTCTCTGGGTTTCCAGGACTGTAATTTTTCACAGGAGTAGAAATCATTCTCCTCCCTTGAAGCACCTAGTGGTTTTGAACTGCTGACCTTATGGTTAGCATCCCAACTCTTAACCACTATGCCACCAGAGCTCCTTCAGTACCTGAAAGATAACTTTATTGGGAGATAGGTTCTTTGCAGAAGCAATTAGATCACATGAGCTCAGACTGGAGTACGATGGGCCCTAATCTAGCATGATTGATGTTCTTGTAAGACAAGTCAGAGAGGCGGATGCTCAGGGAAGAGGGCCATGGGAACACTGAGATTGGAATGATGCTGCCACAAGCCCAGGAACTGCTGGGACGCTAGAAGCTGGAAGAGATGAGGAATAATCCTTCCCTAAAAGCGCATGGCCCTCCCAATACCCTGAATTTGGACTTCTCCGCAATCATGAGAGAATAAATGGTTTGACGAAGTTGTCGTGCTTTGTGATGGCAGCCCTGGCGAATGAATCACATGCTTACACAGGGCTTCAAGTCTGTCTTGCTCATAGATGATCGGACTTGATAACTCCTCCGTGGCTCATCCCTCCAGATCTTTCCCACAGTGCCTGACACATACCAGGCACTCAAAATATTTATGGAACCGAGGACGTTAAAAAATCTTATCTAAAAAAAAAAAAAAAATCCTATTTGAAAAAGTACAAAATAAAATCAACATCTTGTGGGAGAATAGTTGTATGAGTTTTAACACATGCACATATATTCATGTAACAGCAATCAAGTACATTATGCCTCCAAACGTGGCTTAAAATGGAGAAAATATATTTTTCCCTCAGCTTTTACCAATTTGCTACCATGATCCTGGTGGGGGGCCAGCATGCCAGTGGGGTGGCCAGGGTTTCAGAGGTTGCAGGAGACTGCAGGAAGCCAGAGCGGAGAAGCAGGGCACACCCCTTGCTCCATCAAGACGCCTGATTTTGTTTTGTTTTAATTACGGAAAAATCCAAACATACCAAGCAGAGAGACTATTCATCCACCACTCAGCCTCAGCAAGGATCCCTGTGGCCTGGGTTCTCTCCATCAACTCCAGCACCCTTTGAAAGCCAACCAAATATACCACAACTCCTAACCCACCCCCCACCCCCCCACTTTTTTTAAAACAATGAATTCACCAAGTCCCACATAGGGAGCATGGTGGACCTGGTATGAATAGCTGGCTTCTACGACAGCTGTCCAGCCTCCTGGTCCCTCACCTCCTGGCACATTCTTCCTGTAGGAGCCCTGGTGGAGTCGTAGTTACTGTTGCACAGCTATCTGCAAGGTCAGTGGTTTGAATCCCCCAGCTGCTCTGGGAGAGAAAGATGAGGCTTTCTACTCCCATAAGAGAGGGCAGGTCTACCCTGCCCCATAGGGAGACTAAGGGTCTGAGTCGACTCGAAGGAGTGAGTTTTTTAGATTATTCATAATCTAATAAACCTGTTCAGACTGGTCTAGCACAAAGCAGTTTGTGGGATTCAAAGATCAGAGGGGCGTAGTGATGAGGCCACTTGACAGAGAGCTGGAAACCCCTAGCCCCTTGTTGCCAGCGCAACATCCTCTTCCACTCCACCTACTCCTAAAATTCTGCAAGTTCCGCTAGGGTCCTGCAGGTCCTCCTCCGGGGGTAGCATCCGCGCAAGGGTGGTGGGCAAAGGGGGCGGTCCTCGCAGCAGAAGGTGGGGCTCGGAGCGCGGTGATTGGCTGGTAGCGGAGGCAGCGCCCCAGCGCGCACCGGGTCCGCGCGTCCCCGCCCCGCGCGCTGCTGGGCGTCGCTGTCGCTCGGCTGTGGGAGCCAGGAAGGAGCGAGGCTGTCTCCCCGACGGCTGCGCCCGCGCCGGCACCCGAACCCTGTCATTCGGATCCGCTGGGCCCGTGGAGCCCCACGCCGCCGCCCGCCCAGCCGCGCGGAGTCTACGCCCGCCTGGCCGACAAGCCATGGGTACCTGGGGGCTCTCCCAGCTGCGGGCACCGCTGCTCCTGCTGTTGTTGCTGCTGCCAGGTTCGTGCGCTGCACGCCAGTGTGGGGGGCCCGGCGCCCCAGTTGGGGGAGGCTTCCGAGGGGATCTGCCGGCGCAGAGAAGCTCAGAGAAAGGGGCAACGGCGAGGGTAGCACCCGGACGCCGTTGCCTGGGGACTCGGACTCAACACAGTGAGCTGGGTAGGGGGGTGCCATTTCCCTTAAGGCTCACCCCTTTCCGGAGAGGTCTTTGGGCGCGTTCCCGGGAGGCGTGGGGAAGTCTCAGGACTGTGGGCTCAAATCCACCCTGACTCGAAGCCCTGGTTCCATTCTGTGCATCCTCCGTGCCTTCTCGTGTTAGTTACAAGTGAGGAAATGGAGTCCAGAGAGGGCTACGCAAGACTTGCCCAAGATGTGTGTGTGTGTGGCGCGGAAGGCACATTTAGGGGCTGGGGCCAGACTGGCGCAGCAGCCTCACCTCCCCACGCTCCTGGCAGCGTTTCGCTGAGACCCTAAACCAAGCTGAGTCTAGCAAGTCTCCCTGCCCCCTGCTTTGGTCTCTAGAGGGAAGCCTGTTAGGCCCTCCAAGGAGGGGGAACCCCGCCCAGACTCGCCCCGATCCTTAGGGTGGCATGGAGGGTGTGGGGTGCCGCCTAGTCTGTGACTGTGATACATGGGACTAGCTTCACGGCGGGGCTGCAAGGGGTTCCCTGCCGGCACAGCGCCCACAGGCTCTCGGGAGATGCTTCGAGGCTAGGTACAGTACACGCTGTGTGTCTGCTCCTAGTGCAGAGGTCGTCACTGTTCAGGGTCTGGTCCTTTCCACAGAGCTGTGGCTGCTCCTTTCCTTCTGGGGAGAAGCAGGGTGGGCAGGATCCATTCCGCAGCCAGGCGAGGGGAGGTGGGACTTCTCCCAAGATTCCTCTCATTAGCTCCCTGGTTGTCTCCAGATCTGTAAATGGGAGCAGGCAGCTGATGCAGGGGGACCACATCTGTGCTGGGTGTGGCTTGTGGACAGAGGCAATCCCTTAGGGCTCAGCAAGCCAAGGGTGTGAAGACAGGAACCATGGGCCACACCTAGAATTCATGGAAGCCCAGTGGGCACCATGGCCTCCAAAGGGACCAGTGGCCATGCGTGGGGTGAAGGGTCCCTCTGACCTGGACTGTAGTCTCCTACTGGTTGAGGACAGAACACCAGGCCCTGGGTGGCCCTGCCAGGAGTCACTGCCCATCAGGGAAGCAGTGACCGGTTGAAGCTAGGCAGACTGTATTTGTATCATACCCCTCCCTTCCCTGTAGTAACAATGAGGGGATCGCGGCCATTAGGCCAATTCCTACTCATGGTGGTGGTGGTGATGGCGACCCTGTGTACAACCGGTCCTGCACCATGCTGGCAACTGTTCTTCCATCTTGTCGGGGGCTTCCTCCTTTCCACTGCCCCTCCACTTTACCAAGTGTGATATCCTTGGCCGAGGACTGGTCCAAAGTGCATGAGACAAAGGCTCAACACCCTTGCCTCTGAGGAGCATCCTGGCTGTACTTCCTCCAGGACAGGATTGCTTGTTCTTTTGGCAGTCCGAGGGGCTTTCCAATGTTCTTCACCAGCATCGGAATTCAAATGCATCGATTCTTCATCAGTCTTTCCCAGTCAGTGCCCAACTTTCACATGCCGATGAGGCCACTGAAAATACCATGGCTTGCGTCAGGGTGTACCGCAGTCCTCAAAGTAACAAACTTGCTGTTCAACTCTTTAAAGAGGTCTTGTGCAGCGGACTTACCCAAGGCAATGGTCGTTGGATCTCTTGAGCTTCCACGCGCACTGATTGTGCATAAAACAGGTGAAATCCTTGCTAACGTCAGTCTTCTCTATGTATCATGATGGTTACCTGTTGGTGCAGTTGTGAGAATTTTATTCTTCTTTACATTGAGTTGTAATCCATACTGAAAGCTACAATCCTTGATCTGCATCAGCAAGTGCCTTCAGCCCTCCTCACTTTCAGCAAGCAAGGGTGTGTCATCTGCATATTGCGGGTTGTTAATAAGCCTCCTCTGATCCTGATGCTGCATTCTTCTTATATTTGAACTTATTTGCTCAGCAGACAAACTGAATAAGTATGGTGAGAGGATGCAACCCTGACACACGCCTTTCCTGATTTGAAACCATCTAGTGTTCCCTTGTTTTGCAACTGCCTCTGGGTCCGTGTACAGGGTCTGCATGAGCACAATGAAGTGTTCTGGAATTCCTATTCTTCTCAAGGCTGTCCAGTTTGTCATGGTCTACACCAGGGGTCCTCTAACCTTTTAAACAGGGCGCCAGTTCGCTGTCCCTCAGACCCGTTGGAGGGCCGGACTATAGTTTAAAAAAAAACTAACTATGAACAAATTCCTATGTACACTGCACATAGCTTATTTTGAAGTAAAAAAACAAACGGGGCAAAAACACCCGGCGGGCTGAATAAATGTCCTCAGTGGGCTGCATGTGGCCCGTGGGCCGTAGTTTGAGGACCCCGGGTCTACACAGTCAAATGCCTTTGCATTGCGACTCCTTGTGACTCTATCTACAGTTTCCAAGGCGGTCGTTCTTTAGGAGAGCCGATGGCCTCATCTATCTCCTGTGCAGTGGCTGCTGAGTTTGAACTGCAGTCCTTGCAGTTGGCAGTCCAGCTCTTACCTGTTACTGTGTGTCAGGGACCCAGCTAAACACGTGACTTATTCCATCGGACCCTCATAACAACCCCATGAAGAGGTGCATTTCTCATCTGTACAGATAAAGAAACTAAGGGTCAGAGAGGTTAGGCGACTTGACCAAAAGTGATTTACACCAGATCTCATAGTGATTCAGAGCCCGGCTTCTAACCTCTGTACTTCTCACTGTGTGTGCGACCTGATGGAGCGTAGTGGCCCTCTTTTATCTCCAGAAGGTAGGATTAGCCTGAAAGGCAGGGGTTCCACAGAGCACCCCTCGCTGGTCAAGGGAGGGCAGGTTAGCGGTCTGTGTGTCTGTGGTGGGGTGGGCGGCGATTTCCCCAGGGTCTCATGGGGCTGCTTCTCACAGTGGCCAGCGCCTCGGAGGCTGAGCACCGTCTGTTTGAGAGGCTGTTTGAAGACTACAATGAGATCATCCGGCCCGTGGCCAACGTGTCCGACCCGGTCATCATCCAATTTGAAGTGTCCATGTCTCAGCTGGTGAAGGTGGTAAGTGCTGCAGCCATGGTTGTGGGGCTTGGGGCTGCTGGAAGAATCTCTCTCGGGGCCAGCCCTGCTTTGGGGATTGACCCCATTACCTGCTTTGCTCTTTCTAGGATGAAGTCAATCAGATCATGGAGACCAACCTGTGGCTGAAACAAGTGAGTGAAACTGGGCCCAGGCACTGCTGCCCCCTGGTGGTATCTGCTATATTGGCGGCTTGTGAACTAAGAAGGCCCCATGATCCAGCTCCAGGTCTGCGGGCACTGAGCTGAGGCCAGTGACGGGCCCCTCTGTCTTTCTGGGCTGGGAAGCACTGCAGGCCCTGGCACCTCAAGTCATAGACAGACTGACTGACAGACTGCAGCCTGGAGGGAGGGGCCTTGCTCCCTGGGACACACAATGGGGCTAATCCAGGCCTGTACCACGACCCTGCTCCAGACCTAGGCAGGGGACCACCTTCTTCTGACCCTTAAGTTAAAATTGGATATGGTTGGTGGGGTGGAGATGCGGCAGAAGGGTTTTTTCTGGTCAGTGTGAGACCACAGAAACTGACTTCTCTGTGCCCTCCCAGGGAGACGTTGTCCAGACATGCAGAGAGAGCAAGAATAACCCATTGGCTTTGCCAGCTGAGTGCATGGTTCTGTAGGCTGAAAGCAGGTGGGCATGGTGCCCGCCCAGGAGTCTGTTGCTCTTGTGCCCGCCATGCCCCCAGCCTCACCTCTTCCCCTTCAGGGGCTCATGGCTCAGACCCCCAGGCTCCACTCCCAAGCCCTTCCTGAGCCCCGAGGGGATCATGGCTCTGTCCTCAGAACCCTTTGGAAGCCAACCCCATGGGCCACATGATTGAAGAGCGCCTCTTGTTGGGGCTTGCTGGGGAACTTGTCCCAAGAAGCTGTGTCAGGGGGGCTCAGGCATAGAGGAGGCCTGGCCCTGCTCCGGAAGTACCTGGAAAAGCATGAACAGTCTGTATCAGGCTGATGAGGCCCCAGAAAGGGGCTAGACTTGTCTACTACCAGAGGCAATGAAAAGACCTGCAAGCCCAGGGCTCTGGCTCCCCCCGCCCCCTCTCTCATTGCACCCACATGAGAATTTGGCCCAGTGTGGTCTGCGACACAGAGGTGGCCCAGTGACACACAGCAGGGGTGGGGTGTCACCAAGATGCGCTGGGCCAGAAGCCAGGCTGTGCTGATCCCTCCCCCAGATCTGGAACGACTACAAGCTGAAGTGGAACCCCTCTGACTACGACGGGGCAGAGTTCATGCGTGTCCCTGCGCAGAAGATCTGGAAGCCAGACATCGTGCTGTATAACAAGTAAGGCGGGGCGGCCGTGTCCTCTCGGGGCTGGCAGCTGGGCTCTTGGCTCCCTGCGGCTCACAATCCAGCCTCCCCAAGAAGGCTTGAGTCATTGTTTATTCCTAGGGTGCTTATTGAGCGTCTACTCTGTTCCAGGCACTACAGTGACAGTGGTGAGCCAAACAGATTCCCTCCCTGTTCTCCAGGGGTTGATCCCATCGCAGGGAAGGAATATCCAAGCATGCCCTTACAATGAGAAGGGCGGCACAAGGGGGCACCATGTGTGTGGGTGTGTGCGTGTAGACTCTGTCATCAAGGCCTCCCTAGCATGTGGCCTTCCCTGTAAGTCAGGCCGCAACTGGGCCCCCAGCACACTAGGACCACAAAAGCATTCCTTTCACTCACTAGAGCAGTGGTTTCAAGCTTCCTAATGCCTCGACGCTTTCATACAGTTCCCCAGGTTGTGGTGACCCCACCACACACAACCATAAAATTATTTTCTTCACTACTTCATCACTGTCATTTTGCTACTGTTATGAATCAGCTGACCCCTGTGAAAGGGTCATTGGCCCCTCAAAGGGGTCATGACCCACAGGTTGAGAACCACTGCACTAGATGAATTGGCCCCTGAGCTCACGCCCCGTAACTTTTCATGGGTATTTTACTCTGTGTACCATGTTAGGCTCTGGAAGGTCAAGATCATTTTGTATCTGTGCTTTATCTCAAAACCAATTCGCTGCTCAGCTTAGTTGCGACTCCCGGCAACCCTCCGTGCGTCACGTGTGTCAGAGAAGAGCTGTGCCCGAGAGACTCTTCAAAGGTGCTGAGCTTTTTTCCCCCAGGCGTCAATCACCTACCCTTTCTTCCAAGGCACCTCTGGGTAGACTGCAACTGTCAGCCTTCCGGTTAGCAGCCAAGGGTGTTCGGTATGTTACTCACCAAGCACGGTTCAGCAGAACACAGATGCATACCAGCATGCATCTGAAGGAAGCAGTCTGTGTTTCGTTTTACAATGTCACTGATAGAAGTCCGTATGTTTTAAGATTCGTATGAGTGCTGTGACTAAAACGATTGATTTCACTGTTTGTAGTAACGTGAACGGGAGGAGATGGGGAATTTGGCCAAATCCCGCAGTTCACCTGGCAAAGACAAGAGAGGGTCATTAAGCACTCGCTGTTTGATTTATTCTTTTCCCAAGAACACATGGGATGAGTGAATTGCACGCCTTCCCTGAACTTGGTGTGTGTAGACTGGACGTAAAGAAGGGGACACAAGGGAAACCCAGCCAGCGGACAGACCCCTCCTTCTTCCCAGAGCTGTCCTAGAAATCCCATACCCCTAAGGCTCACAGGGGGCTAGCCTTTTGCGGAGGCTTTCTCTAAATAATAAGAACACCAGAAACACCCCTTTCTCACTTAGACCGAAGCTTCTCCTATTTGGTTTTCTGAAGTTTATTTTTGAGCAAAAGTCCCCCAAAGTGCTCACAGACACAAACTACCCCGAGTTCTCACAAGTTCATCAGGGCAGCCTTAGGGAGGCTCCTTCAAGGTCACCTTGGCCAGGTGCAAAATCCGCTGCTCCCATTTCCTTCCCTGCAACTCCTCACAGTCTGCCTGCCCGGATGATGTGCTCCATCAGGGCTGCCCATGTTTGATCCCAGTCTGAGAATGAAAGGAGTCACTATTAATAAGAATGCCAGGACTATGGGCATAAGCTAGGGCCACCCTGGGTGGACTGGCACACAGGTCACCTGATTTTATAAGTAGATTCTTCTTGGTTGCTTGGCTACTCAGAGGGCTTTTTTTTTCTTCTTTATCTTTCAAGTCTAGAGACTTTTCACACCATAAGGAGCCGTGGTGGCACAATGGATTAAGCATTGGGCTGTGAACCACAAGGTTGGTGGTTCAAAGCCACCAGCCCCTCCTGGAGAGAAAGATGAAGCTGTCTGCTCTCAAGATGTACAGTCTCCGAATCCCTGCGGCGCACTTCTGCTCCGTCCTAAGTGTTGCTATGAGTTGGAATCCAGTCCGCCAGGCGGGAGTGGGTATTTGCCTGACAAACCTTCTCTTATCCCAGGAGAGCTTCTCTTTTTAAAGATTTTTTAATCCCTTGTTCTTTTCCATTGCTTTGATCTTTTTTTCCTGTCTGCAGGAATTCTAGTTTCACATCTCTTGGACCGCCTTGGCCTCTGTTCCTTACAGAGTGTTTCTTTCTCAGATTCTTTGACTCAGAGCAGACTTATGCACAAGAACCAAGCACTGCCTGGTCTCGCACCCTCCTCTCCTGGGCCTGAGCTCCTCGGAGTGCCCCTGTGTCGGTCCATCTCCTGGAGAGTCTCCCTCTTTCTCACTGCCCCCTCCTTTCCCAAGCATGATGTCCTTCTCCAGGGGCTGGCGTCTCCTGACAACATGTCCAAAGGACAGAAGACGAAGCCTCGCCGTGATTCCTTCACCTGCTCCAGACGTGCCCCCGCCCCACCTGCATGGTTACCAGGATGCATTCAAACGCCAGCCCGTGTGGCCACAGTCTGAGAACGGTTGCTTGTGGGCACCCACAGCTTGGGGTTTTGCACCTCCTTTCCTCCCCCTTCCTCCCCTCCCAGCTTCCAGCCCTGTTCGATCTGGAACATTTTCTCTGGGTGGGTCTCTGTCCTTTGCGGCAGGAGTTTGGGTGTGTTTCTGAGGTTTCTGAGAGCCTAGGAGGCCTGGTGACATGGTGGGTTAGCTTTTGGGCTTTTAGGCACAAGGTCAAGTGATTCAAACCCACCAGCCATTCCGAGGCTGTCTGGGACCCCCTATAGAGTCACGATGAGTTGGAATTGATTCACAGCCGTGGATTTGGGGGCTTGCGAGACTAGCCCAACTGATTGGGCCCTCGGCAGACATTCAGTGGATTCTTCAGGCTCCTGTTCTTGCCCACAGATCAGAACCCTTGGGCCTCTCTGTCTTACTGGTTATGTTCAGATTCACGTCCTCCGTACAAAGACTCACTCACTCACTCACTCACTCACCCACTGCCATTGAGTTGATGCTGACTCACAGTGACCCTGTAGGACAGGGTAGAACTGCCCTTGTGAGTTTCCAAGACTGTAACCGTTCATGAGACTAGAAATCCCGGTTTTGAACTTCAGACCTTGTGGATCAGAGCCCAGTGCGTAACCACTACGCCACCAGGGCTGTGCCTTACAGAGTGGGGCTGTTTGTTTTTTGAAGGGTGGCCATGTCTTGGTGATTGCATGTCTGGGGTTCTTGGGATATCAGAAGCTCCCCTCTCTCCCCATAGATGTCCAGTAACTGACCCCACAGGGCCCTGCAGATCCCTGCTGATGTTGGCTGTTTGGCCCTGCATGCCCAGAATGCAGGTCGTGGGCTGCCTTGTAACTGAGCTTGGTGAATGGTGCTGTCAGCAGGCTCTCTTCTTGTGCTAGATGAGCTGTCCTATTTCTGAGGGAATTGGGAGAGGTTTAAAAAATTAAGCACCAGACTCTTTCCCCTCCTGCTCCCCCATTGAAGCTCTTCAGCACCCCCTGGATTAAGTGCTACCTTGACTTTCTTTAACTCATCTCCCAGGCTCCACTGCAAGTGGGTTCGGTCCTCTCCCAGCTCTGCTGCCCCTGCCATCAGCCATTTCTTGGCTCCCTCTTGGGGGAGATCTTCTTTTACCTCTTGCTTATTCATCATCCAACCAACACCCCCGAGTGTCCGCTGAATGCCGGCGCTCTGCCGGAACCCAGCCCTGCACTGGCTCTCCATTCTCTCTCTCCCCTGGGGTAGGTCCGGCTGCTGGCACTGCCTCTCTGCCTTCTGGTCTGAGCAAATGGGTAGTGCCTGAGCAGCGGCTGCCATGATCAGAGTCCCCAGAGGTGAGCAGTGAGCACCAGTGATTGCAGGTCTTGGTTCTGTGTGCTGCTGGGACAGAAATGCCGCAGCCAGGGGGCTTTGAAGGACATGGTCATGGTCCTACAGTGATGCTGGTGGTGCTCTCCCACACCCTGGGATCTCGGGGACCCCTCTGTGCCACTGGTTACCTTCAGAGCCCCTTGCTGAGGCTTCCAGAATGGGCTCGTCTTTCCTTAGAGCATTTCCCTTCATTCCGAGCCTGGGGCTCTGCAGACAGCAGAACTCCACATGCTCTCCCATGGCAACCTTGTGGTCCAGCTCCTCATCCACATCTGCTGCTGCTTGGCCGGGAGCCCTGGTGTTCCTTGATGCCTGGGCTTGTAGCAGTCCGCCCACAGCACCTGTCTCTGTCTCTGCGGGCCGGTGTGTCTGTCCTGTTATTGTTTGTTGTTAGAGTCCATTGAGTCTGTTCCAACCCTTAGCGACCGTATGCACAACAGAAAGAAGCACTGCACCATCCTCACGATGGTTCCCAGGCACATGCCCATTGTTGCAGCCATGGGGTCAATCCATCTCCTGTGTCTATCCTCCCCGCTTGCTTGGATTTATTATTTTTCCTCTTCTGTTCTATTTCTAACTCCAAAGTGATTGGGTTTAGAACCCACCTAGCTGGTCTGACCCATTCTAATTAATTAGATAGGATTGCACGAAGGAAGCTCATTCATGACCTTCTATCACCTGTCAGGTGGTTATGTTCACTACATAGGATTTCATTGTGGAAGGTCCCTTGCTCTACTCAAGGCCCGCTGATTCAATGGCATGTCTCAATCGTAACAGCACAAGGGCCCCGCATTTCCATTGTAACAGCAGCTAGTGTTCCGTCAAACAACCGGTTACCATCGCCTAGCCAAAGGAACACTTCAAGTTCACCATTGTACCATGGTCAGCAGATACAAGGTGGGAGTTACACCATTGAGGAGGGAGCCCGTGATGGGCCCCAGAGGGTTGTTGAGGTTGGGTGAGTCTCCCTCAGCTTTGCCAGCTCATCAGCCCCCTCCCCTCTCTGGGCCTCAGTCTCCCCAGAGGTAAAATGAAGTGGGGCTCAGGATGCTCTCGGTAGCAATCTTGGCTCTCATAGCCACCGTTTCACTAATGGTTCCACACTACCTACCTTGTGGTGAGGGCTTGGGCGGTGTGAGCAGCTGGGCTGAATGACATGTCGCATGCCTCTCCGCCCTTGCAGTGCTGTGGGGGATTTCCAGGTGGATGACAAGACCAAAGCCTTACTCAAGTACACAGGAGAAGTGACGTGGATCCCTCCGGCCATCTTTAAGAGCTCCTGCAAAATCGACGTGACCTACTTCCCGTTTGATTACCAAAACTGCACCATGAAGTTTGGCTCCTGGTCCTATGACAAAGCGAAAATCGAACTGGTCCTGATTGGCTCCTCCATGAATCTCAAGGACTACTGGGAGAGTGGTGAGTGGGCCATCATCTGGGCCCCAGGCTACAAGCACGACATCAAGTACAACTGCTGCGAGGAGATCTACCAGGACATCACGTACTCCCTCTACATCCGGCGCCTGCCCCTCTTCTACACCATCAACCTCATCATCCCCTGCCTGCTCATCTCCTTCCTCACGGTGCTCGTCTTCTACCTGCCCTCCGACTGTGGTGAGAAGGTGACACTCTGCATCTCGGTCCTCCTCTCCTTGACGGTCTTCCTCCTGGTGATCACCGAGACCATCCCGTCCACCTCTCTGGTCATCCCCCTGATCGGCGAGTACCTCCTGTTCACCATGATCTTTGTCACCCTGTCCATTGTCATCACCGTCTTTGTGCTCAATGTGCACTACAGGACCCCCACCATGCACACCATGCCCCTGTGGGTGAAGACCGTCTTCCTCAACTTGCTTCCCAGGGTCATGTTCATGACCAGGCCAGCCGCCAACGAGGAGCACGCTCAGAAACCGAGGCCCCTCTACAGCGCCGAGCTCTCCAACATGAATTGTTTCAGGGGCACTGAGGCCAAGGGCTGCAAGGACGGCTATCCCTGCAGGGACAGGCTGTGCGGCGTCTGCCACCACCGCCGGATCAAGATCTCAAACTTCAGCGCCAACCTCACGAGAAGCTCCAGCTCCGAGTCTGTCGAGGCCACGCTCTCCCTCTCTTCTTTGTCGCCAGAAATCAAAGAAGCGGTTGAAAGTGTTAAATATATTGCTGAAAATATGAAGGCACAAAACGAAGCCAAGGAGGTAAGGGTGTGTGTAGTATTGTCAGAGCAGCCATTCATTCATTAGATAGACCTCTGTTGAGTGGTTTCTTGTGGGGCAAGGCTACCGGCGTGGGGAGGGTCTAGCTAGGTTCAGAACTGGCTCCTTTTATCTCCAACCGCATGCCCTTGAATGTGTTGCCTCCCCTCTCTGGGCTTGTTTCTCATCTGTCAAATGGGGTGATAAAGCTCATGTACACAGTCCCCCAAAGTCAGCCGCTGGGCTGGCAGAAATCTGGGCCACTCACACAATCAATGCCAGGGACAGTGAATTAGGGGCTAGCCTGGAAAAGGGTATGAGGCCAGATCTCCAGCCAGGACTGAGCTGAGCTTACATTTCTTTTGCAGCTTACATTTTTACTTCTTCTTTCCCAGGTGGTTCCCCCCCACTGTGTTGAGCTATAATTTAGAGTAAACGGCACACCTCAGCAGGTGTTTACATATGTGTCATACCCGTGTAAACATTGTCCAGATAAAGGAACAAATTCATGTCCCTTCCCAGAGTCTCCTCCCTCCTTTGTAGCTGCTATCCCTGTCTTCGTTCACCTTGATTAGCTTTGCCTACTCTGGGATGTCACATACGTGAAATAAATGTCCTAGCATGGATTCTTCCAGGCCTAATGTCTTCCATTCATCATAGGGGCTTTGAGGTTTATCTTCTTGTAGTCATTTCTTTTTCATTGGTGTGTTAATATTCCACAGTCTGACCGTCCCAGCACCTGCTTGTTTAGCCTATAGCTGTAGGGCATCTAGTTCTTTCCAGTTTGGGGTATTCTGAATTAAGTTGCTAGAAGCAGTTTTACACACATCACGTTTGCACTCACATCCTCAAAGTGATGTCTCGTGGCTCTGTCTGTGGGAGTACCACTGCTCACTCACTGGGAGGATGCATCTTTAACTTTAGCAGGTACCACAGTTTTCCCAAGTGCGACGCCAGCTGACCCTCCCAGCTTGAGAGGCCCAGTTGCTCCCCACTGTTGGCCACATGTGCCATAGTTCTCACTGCTGTTGGACTGGGCATTTCCCTGCTGAGCAATCATGCTGAGCTCTTTTTCAGATGCTTATTGGACACATTCTCCCTTCTTTGATGAGTTTTTTGGTCCATTTTTCAGTTGGATGGACTTATTTCTATTGTCAGCATATGCTGAGAAGAATGGGAAGTAATGTAATGGAGAGAGTTTGACCCTCATGTTGTGGGTCTGACTGTGGCATGATCCTCTGTTCAACCCACCCCCTACCCAGTTACCAGCATCACATCCAATGCTTTTATAAGCAGCTCTGCTCCAACTTTAATTGGCTCTGCCTTAAGTTGATTATTAGCAAAGAGCTAATTAGTGAGATCATTTCAGCTCCTGGAATTATTGCGCTGGAAATAATTAACATTGGTAGCAAAATGTCAAGAAGCCTCTTCAGACAGCTTGGAATGGCACACACTAGTAGAGGTGGCAGTGGCGGCAGTAGTCCTCCTCTCCCCACTGCCACGCATCTGAGCAACTGAGCATGTCATGACAACACGACACCTCCAGCCGATCCCAGGCATACAGCCCCAATGCCAGGCCCTCTTTTGCCTGCAGCTGCAGTGGTTTTCCTGACATACAACTTTTGCAGGACCAAAAAAAAGGTAGCTGCAGAGCTTGCTTAAGTTCAAAGACTTCATGGGATTTGGGTCCTTGGTTTGGAGATTTAGGGACTTGGTTTTGTGGGACATCCAATTAGTTGACCTAATAACGTGCTCAGTGCTTCTGTTCTAGCTCCTAGCTCACTGCATAGTGCCTTGGGTCTTCCAAGCTTACGAGAGCCCCTGGAGCATCAGAGAGGTAGGAATGTCAGAAACAGGATACAGGATGTGTGACAAATTAACTCCAGGAAGAACTGCCTCCTTTGCCAGGAGACCAAATGAACTGGATGGTGCCCGGCTACCATCACTGAACGTTTTGATCAAAGACTCCATAGAAAAATCCCGATCAAAGGGAGGAGATGCTGAACAGAATCTCAAATTCTCATGGGTTCCAGAGTTCCTAGAGCTAGAGTGATAGCTAGTCTCAATGGGTACCTGTTTTCTGCTCTTTCCCACAACTGAAGTCTCCTTCACTCAGCAATGATTCCCAGAACACCCATCTCAGGGCTGGGAGAGGAAATACACGGAGGGGATAAAGAGGCAGGGAGAAAAGAGCACAACTCCAAAGTTCTGCTCACCTTCCACCAGCTCCCCCCCAACACACACACACACACACACACACACA